CCATGTTTGGGGTGTCATTAGAAATGAATGGCAGTGCAACAGCGTGTTGCACAGGTGTGAACCAGGCCTTAGTGTTAATTGCATGACTTTAACCAGTTGACATCCGCGGTGTTAAACCCCCTTCCCATCAAGGCCATTTTTCAGTATTCAGCGCTGCAGTACTTTGACTGACATTTATTCCGTCATGCAACGCTGTACTGAAATGAATTTTATACCCTTTTTTGGGGACAGATAGAGCTTTCTTTTGGTGGTATTTATTCACCACTGGGGTTTTTATTTTTTTACTATATTAAGGAAAAATTACCGAAATTAAAAAAAAAAAACGAGCACATATAGACGATCGGCGGGCTATGGAGCCGCTGATCGCCTATATGTGAAACACCCGGTAACGGGTGTTTGTATTGGTCAAGTCTTTTCTGCCCGTGCGTGCCCGCTAGGGGGCGTGCGCAAGCAGAAAAAAAATGCCGTCTGGCGACGGCAACCCGCCAATGCTGCAGTGCCGTCCGTCCGTTTTTTTACTACGGGCGGACGGCAAGTGGTTAACATGGTTACCATGTTGCTGTGTTCAATGACGGGTTTAATCTGTTGCCCGGAATTTCTGGTTAATAATAAAGCTTCAGATGTCTGGGTCTGCAAAGACCACAATGAAGAGAAACCTGAAGACCTTAAAAGTATGAAAGCAAAGTAAGTGTAATAAAGCCAACACTGCACCGTTCTGTCATTGCTGCCACCAATAATTAATCAGATGCTTTAGCTGCAGCATATGGCATGGCCCTGAGAGAAAAACACTGTCCTATGTAATAAAAGCATCAGTCCAGAAAGGAGATGTTTTCACTGCGATAAGGAAGACTAGTGGTTCCTGAAGAAGAAAGACCTGCTTTATAAACCCATCTCATGTTTAACCCTTTTACCACTGGAGCTGCTATTCTAGCATTGTTAACCAGAACAATAAGGATATGATTCCATAGTCTCAATGATATGCTTGTATATATTTGGAGTCTCAGGTGAGGTACTTGCTGTTTGCTTAATGGATAGTAATAATTAAACCGTTTTCCTTCTGTAAAAATGCTTAAGTAGCCTTCGGAAACGCGCGAACCACGGTTAAAAAAACGCGCGGCGGTCGCTCGACAGACGCGCAGATGCAATACGCCTAGGTGTGAACGAGATCTCAAAGGAGAAAAACCTGTTATAATAAGCCAGTTGGTGCAGTAAGATGCGTTTTCAGGAGGAGTAAATGCTAATGCATAGAAAAGCATCTATCGAGCGTTTGTGGGTAATGTGTTTTCTTAGGTGATGCTCCAGTTTCAGACAGCCCAGAACAAGTGCAGATCAAAACAGGTGCAAAAAACATGCAATTGAAAAAGTAATGCAAGTTCTGGTCAAAACATGTGCAGTTGGAAAAGTAGTGTAAGCTCTGAAGAAACAGGGCACATGTTAAAAGACAGATTTGCACATAATAAAAATGATCTAAGAGGCTAAAACTGCAGCAACTGCTTTGATAAATTTCTCCCAATGTATGTAAGACTCCATTTACAAAGCTTTAAATCAGGACTCCAGGCATTTTCTCTGTAAATCTGCAGTGTCAAATAAGGTAAGCCTCATGAGTTGTATGCAGGGCCGGTGCTAGGTTTCCTGCCTACACAGGCAAGGTGGATTTTTGCGCCCCCCGCCCCCCTCCCCGACCCCCAGTAAAAACAGGGCATTTTGACAAGTACTTGTACTTGTCAAAATGCCCCGATGTTTGCGCTATGTTTTTTTTTAGTATGTCACTTTAATCACTTGTCTACCAGTGCCGTTTATAAACCATGACTGGTAGCAGGGGTTTTTTTTGTCCTCAAAACAAGGTTACAGTCATGAATGTTTGAGCAAAAATCGCATATGCAACCATCAAATCAAATGTGATTATTGTGCTTTACATACAGTTCTAGTAGAAGCATTTCGTGGATACAAAACTTTTCAGTTATCATCAAACAGAACATTTAACGTATATCTAGTAAGAGTATTCAACATACTTTCATTAGTGAGAATCTGCAGTCGGGACACAGTTGCGTTGTGATAATCGTTACTGTATTGAACCGCTGAGCGCAGAGAGTGTCATCAATGATATAGTGTAAAAACCATGTTGTGGGAAGTTGGAGCTCAGCCTCATCCAAGGCGCGAATGCTGGGAGTAAAGGTAGGTATTAGCAAGGAAAGAGCAGAGTGAGCAGAGGGGAGTAGTAGGCACAAGCGGAAGGAAAGGGTAGAAGAATGGGTATGATCCTGAATCGCTGCCAGGGTCCCCGTCCAAGGAAGGATCCACCACCGCCGACAGCTGAGGAGCTAGGGTCCCGACACGGGAGGTCCCATCAGGCAGTGTGACCCAGGAAGGCCACCATGTCTCCCAAGAGTGCGGCCTCGGTGTCAGTCTGACATAAGGTCCGCGTATGTGGTGGAGTGTTGGAAGTAGATCCATGGACCCCAGGTGGTCAAGAACTTCCCTTCGGTGTTTCTAAGGGAGGCTGTCAGATCTTCCAGAGTATACACCTCACAATCTTAGAGAGCCACAATGAGATGGTGGGCGGGCTCGTTTGTTTCCTCAGCAGGGCAATAGTGGCTCTGGCAGCATCTAACAGGTGATCCCAGAAGGATTTCAAGACCGGGCATGACCAGAAGGTAACATCATGCCCGAGTCTGAACCACACCTCAAACACTGGGCAGGGATCACGGGATTCATTTTGTGCAAAAGCTGGTACTCTGTACCAGCGGGATAGAATTTTGTAGCCCATTTCCTGAATTTTGCTGGCCATGGACGATTTGTGGGACATGGTGAGTATGACTCGGGTCTGTTGTTCGGTAAAGACAAATCCTAGTTCCCTTTCCCATTGCTGCAAGAACGATGGGTGGGAGGTGGAGGCGGGGGCACTGATCAGTTTGTAAATAAGGGATATTGCATGTCGCGTGGGTTCTGTCCCCGTACACATCATCTCGTAGTCAGTAAGGGGTCTATCCAGGTTCTGGGGATTAGGGATGGCTCGCAGAAAGTGTCGGAGTTGCATAACACTCCAAAAGGCTAGAGGGGGGTCGGTAAGGGATCGTATAGCTGGGCCCGATAGCCAGTCAAAATTGGATGGAAAGTCGATTAGTCTGAACTTGTCTACTGTCACCAGTCTGGAGAACCGTGCCGTGTCCGCTCCCGGACTCGAAGTCGGGATCTCCTATCACCGGTGTTATTGGCGAGGGGGCCGGAGCTAGTGTGGTGTGCTTGAGCGTCGCCCTATGAGGTGCAGGACCCGGGTGGTGTTGTCCCGGGCCTCTCTAGATGGAATAAAACCCACCTGGTATGGGTGAACGAGGGAGGGCATGAATGGAAGTAGCCTGTTGGCAATGATTTTGGCAAATAACTTAAGGTCCACATTCAGGAGTGCAATCGGCCTGTAGTTACTACACTGAGTTGGGTCCCTGTCTGCTTTTGGTATTAGTGTGATCCATGCCCGAAGCATGTCTCTGGGCAGGGGATGGTCTTGTAATATAGAGTTATAGGCCGAAAGAAAATTGGTAGAGAGCTGGGGGAGAAATAATTTGTAGTACGCTACCGTGAAGCCATCTGGAGCAAGGGTTTTAAAACACTCCTGGCACCTATAGCCATACTGCTGGTTTTTAAAGAAGAACTCTGGGCAAAATTTCTATTAACTCTTGCAGTGGGACTACCCCCGAACTGCAAGGGTTAAGTGCTTGTTTTGGTCTAAGGAACAAAATAATAAAGTTATACTCCCCCGAGCCAGCCAGCTGTCACAGAGCTCCCTCCAGCCGGTCTCCTCCTACACTCCAGCGATGGTGTCTCAGTCTCAGCACTATACACTATGTATAGAATGTGATCACTCCAGGACCGTACACCGCTGCAGCGGAGGGGGAGCGAGGCGGAGGGACTAGTTTAAGAGCAAGCTGGCTCTGAGGATCAGGTGAGTATAACTTTTTTATTTTCCTACCTAGACCAAAACTTGCACTTAACCCTTGCGGTTCAGGGGTAGCCCCACTGCAAGAGTTAGTCAAAATTTTGTTCAGAATCCTTCTTTAAATTCACCCCCTAAATGTTTGTTTTATTGAGGGTGTAAAAAAATGATGCAACTTCTCACAGTATCATTTTCAGCTGTGGGGTTCATGTGCAACGTACCTGCCCCTTGGTATGTTTCTACACCTGCCCAGCACTACAGTTACATATGAAATGCAGACAAGGTTTAATAATAAACTTTAATAAAAATAAAAACCAATCATGTAAAGTCTATTTCCAGGCATGCCAATTTTCTGGTCTCCTCCTCTCTTCCCCTCCACACCCATGCGTTAGGTTGTTTCTAAATGAAGTACCTAGAGATGATTTTGTTTAAATCCAATGCCGCTGCTTCTGGGAGTCATGATTGGTGGATCCAGTGCTGCAGTAGACTAGATCATTGGTTCTCAACTGGTGGGTCGTGACCCAAAGTGGGCCGCGACCCCGTGTTCAGTGGGTCGCCACATGCCTTCCCCTTTTCTAGGTGAGACACTCCTCAGCCTCCCCCTAGCACAGCACCGTCAGTTCTCGCGCCGAGCAGCCATTCAAAATATGCTGCCCAGTCCTGCATGTCAGCTTGTGGTGGGCTGCAATTATGGCCATAAGGGAGCTCCATCCATATATACACATTGCTTACAGCTCCCACATGTCCCCTGTAGAGGTGCCTTGACTGGACTGACGTCACATTCTGGCTCCTGGCACCTCTACAGGGCACGCAAGGGAGCTGTTCAAACAATGCACATATGGATGGAGCTCCATCACAGCACACTGGACCCCAGGCTGAGGATCCACTCCAGTTCTCATAAGGTAGGGAGACTGGGTGGATCTTCCAAAAAATTATAATTTTTTTGGGGGTATGTATGTGTGTGTGAGAATGCCTAAGTCTGTGTGCGCAGTGCACCTTGGGTCATGACTTAATGACCAAGGACAAATGTGGGTCTTGAGGTTACACAGGTTGAGAACCACTGGACTAGATGCCTCTTTGTGATGACATCTCTCTGCTGTCTTTTGAGGACCACGCCACTGGACAGAAAATAGGAAGTGCCAACGTCACCCAGCCAATGATGTGGACACCCTTCTCTGCAGGAAAAAAGATAAAAGACTTGGAAGCTGCAACCTCACATGACTGCAGACTACTTTCAGCATTTAGAACCGTTAAAGGAGAACTATGGGGTCAGGGCTTTTCCCCATAGTTCTCCTAAGGGTAACGGGAGGACACAAACTAGCGTCCCCCCGTCACCCAAAGCTCAGTATACTGAGACGTCTCAGCCGGATCCCGACATTACTGTCGAGATCCCCCCAGCTGCAGGATTGACAGCTGGCTCTGCCTATCTAGAGGCAGAGCCAGCTGTACCCACCCCCTCCCCCGTCCGTTCCCAGAAGTCAGCGCTGGAGGATTGGACAGAGGACGGGGGGAATCCCTGCATGGGGCCATGAGTGATGGTCACGGCTCTCTGCAGGGATAGATCGAGAAGTGAGCGAGCGACGATATGTGTTCGCTCACTTCCCGATCTATTGAGCCAACCTGTGACAGTTTTATTGTCACAGGTCGGTTAGAACTATGAGGCTGAGTGATTTTCACTCGCCTCATAGTTCTCCTTTAAAAGAGTTGTGAAGTCCCAGCATATACCATCATGTTATAACATCAGCATTGTAATAGGAATACATACTAGAGTTGTTTCTGGTAATGCAATCAAAGCTTACCTTTTATATAGTGAGTGTTGCTATTTGTAGGCACTGCTGACGGTTAAATGATTCTGAGAGTGCTGGCACTGGAAATATAATAGGGCTGGTAATGATTAAAAATTTCCTGTTCGATTAATCGAATTTTTTAAAATCGATTAATCTCGATTAATTATAACGCACATACACATCCAACTACCTTGGCCTATACACATACAGCACAGCAGTGAAGTAATAAAATGAACTAGGATCACACTAATCCAGCACGTTATTAATCTCGCGTGCCCCACTCAATATGGCCGCCGCTTGAGTGGGGCAACTCAGAATAATAACGTGCTGGATTAGTGTGATCCTAGTTCATTTTATTACTTTATTGCTGTGATCGATCAAAAAAATTAACGATTAATCGAGGGATTAATCGTTAATTTCCGCAGCCCTAAAATATACATTAACTGATGACAGAGAATCATTATAGTTACTGAACCATGGGATTCTGGGAGATTCCTACAGTCCAGGTGCCATGCTCTGATTGGATACTTTGCTCATTCACATAAACACAACAGTATAGTTATTATTATGGCACATGGGGTGTGAGGTTCGCTTGGAAGTGGCCCTTCATCCATAAAGTTTTAGGCCTTGTTCACACCAAGTGCGGAGCAGGTGCAGAGCAGAGCAGGTGCAGACCGGATCAAAACTGCGTCCAATGTATTCCTATTGTATTTTGAGCTCCAGTTCACATCGCAGCGTGCAGTTCCAGAGCAGATCCATAGCAGGTAAAAAAACTGCAGCAGGCACTATTTTACCTGCTCTGGAACGCATTTTTTTTTAACCAAAAAGAGCCCGGAACGCGTCAAAAAAGCGATTCGCAATACAAACACGCGTTTTCAAGGGCTACCTGGCTGTATCCCAATGGATACGCGCAGCAAATACGCCCCAAAGAAGCTCCTGTACTTCTTTGGGCGTAGGGCGTTTTTCAGCGGGTTCCTACGCGCTGTAAAACGCCCAGGTGGGAACCATGCCCATAGGCAATTATTGGTTGCACATGTTGAGTAGGTTTTCCTATGTGCTGTAAAACGCCCAGGTGTGAACCAGGCCTTAACAATTAAAACTCTTGGTGTGCGTTGACAATGCACTTTATGTGCGGTTATCTGCTTTGTGCTAAAGTGACACTAAACTCAGGAGTTAAAGGAGAACTATGAGGTGAGTGAAAATCACTCATCCTCATAGTTCTAACCGACCTGTGACAATGAAACTGTCACAGGTCGGCTCAATAGATCGGGAAGTGAGCGAACACATATCGTCGCTCGCTCACTTCTTGATCTGTCCCTGCAGAGAGCGGTGACCGTCACTCATGGCTCCCTGCAGGGATTCTCCCCTCCCCTGCCCGTTCCTCCAGCGCTGACTGGTGGAATGGATGGGGGAGGGGGCGGGTACAGCTGGCTCTGCCTCTATATATAAAACACACAGTACATATGGAGGACCCCATATATAACACACAGTACATATGGAGGACCTCATATATAACACACAGTACATATGGAGGACCCTATATATAACACACACAGTACATATGGAGGACCCTATATATAACACACAGTACATATGGAGCACCCCATATATAATAGGAGTTGCAGTGTTCAGGTAGAAGGGGGATGCACATATATAAGGACAGGTGTCCGTCATCGTCCTCCCCAGACTCTGGTTCTGCAGGTGTGATCTCTCTATGGGGTCACAGTACAGTCTGTGTGTTATACTACATTTTACAAATACAAGGGCTGACTGACAATTCAGGGAGGAAGGAGGAACTTGCATAGCTCCCAACTGATCTCTCATTTGCAGAGACTGACCTTTTTTTTTTTTTTAGGACCAAGTGCCCCTGTCCCTCTTTCCTTCTCCTTGGTCATTGTTGGTCTGATCAATGGACCTCTAAATATTGTTCTATTTATCTACCAAAAGTGTTATACTGCCCAGAAACTTTCATCCAAACACTAAAAAAAAAAAGTGTCAGCAACCCCCAGCACAGGTACCCGGGCAGGCATGTCATGCTGTTTGTGTTGTCACCTGCTGCTATTGGCTGTAATTGACAGCTTACTAGCTTGGAACCGTTTGTGTGCGGTGTGGAAGAAGTCCACCTGCATGCCGAAAGTGGTACTCTGTTCCTAAAGGTACAGGGTCTGAAATGCATGCATTGGGGCTGATCGGCGGCCTTGAAGTGCATGCATTGGGGCTGATCGGCGGCCTGAAGTGCATGCATTGGGGCTGATCGGCGGCCTGAAGTGCATGCATTGGGGCTGATCGGCGGCCTGAAGTGCATGCATTGGGGCTGATCGGCGGCCTGAAGTGCATGCATTGGGGCGGATCGGCGGCCTGAAGTAAATGCATTGGGACTGCTCGGCTGTCTGAAGGGCATGCATTGAGTCTGATCAGTGGTCTGAAGTGCATGCATTGAGTCTGATCAGCGGTCTGAAGTGCATGCATTGAGTTTGATCAGCGGTCTGAAGTGCACGCATTGAGGCCACTCAGCAGTCTAAGGTATATGCATTGGAGAAGATCACCAGTCTGAAGTGCATGCATTGGAGAAGATTGGCGGTCTGAAGTGCATGCATTGGAGAAGATCGGTGGTCTGAAGTGCATGCATTGGAGAAGATCGGTGGTCTGAAGTGCATGCATTGGAGAAGATCGGTGGTCTGAAGTGCATGCATTGGGACTGAAAATGTTTTCCATGTGCACCAGTTAATCAGATATTATACTTATAGTTGTACTAATAATGGCAAGTTAAACACTTCCATCATTTTAATGGAGGGGGTGAACCGTATGTGACCTGTATGCACAGTTATCTTTCTCTAGAATTTGGTGCTGTAGGGGTAATACAGTGGGGCAAAAAAGTATTTAGTCAGCCACCAATTGTGCAAGTTCTCCCACTTAAAAAGATGAGAGAGGCCTGTAATAGGGTATATAGGGGCATGTTTATAGAAACTGCCAGATTTACCCTATAACAGGTAATCAGATTTCCTGTTATATTTCTTGAGAATGAGATTAAACCTGATTGGTCTTCATGGACAAGCTCTCCTTTTTTTGTTTACAGAAATGCCCAATTTTCCCTTTGCCCTCTGGACTGTGATGATTAAATTCTTAGGCATAATACCCAGAGTATTAACAGTGTAATTAAAGGATATGTTAATGACAAGATGCTTTATTTTACAGAAAGTCTATGTCCTCACCCAAGAAGAGGCCAAAGTCATAAAGCAGTGTAATTCTGACAGCTTTTGGTTCAGATGTAAGTACTGTATTTAACATGGCTCCTCCTTTTTTATCAGATATTTAGTTTCCCTTGTGTAGTGCTTGTACCAATAGTGTACATAAGTGCTGAGTGTGTGTAATAAATGTGTGTATATATGTGTATGTACCGTATTTTTCGATCCATAAGACGCACTTTTTCCCCCCAAAAGGAGGGGGAAAATGTGCCTGCATGTTATGGAGCGAATACCTATTGCCTGACGCCGGGACTTGCAGTTTCGGGCGCCGAGCGAGTAGTTTTATTTTTTTTTGTACATTCAGCCCTACTCCTGACAAGCAGAGCTGAATGTACAGTGGGAGCCGCTGCTCGTTTAATCTAATTAGCTTACACCGCATCGGGCACAGCGGATCTCGGGACCGGCAACACCAGTGACAGCTGCTGATACAAGCAATCGAGCGTCTCGAGACGCTCGATCGCTTGACTGTAAAGCTCCCGGCCGGCCGTGTAATTACAACAGCCGGCCGGGAAGCTGCTCGTCGGGCTCCACTGTCTGCTCGTCACAGACGAGCAGACGAGTGGATTTTCGAGCCCTGTGTTTTTGGGACACCCCTCCAAATAATTGGATTCACGTGTTTCAATAACCCCCATGGCCACAGGTGTATAATATCAAGCACCTAGGCATGCAGACTGCTTCTACAAACATTTGTGAAAGAATGAGTCGCTCTCTGGAGCTCATTGAATTCAAGCATGGTACCGTGATAGGTTTCCACTAGGGATGTCCCGATACCACTTTTTCAAGACCAAGTACTTCCCCCTCATGTACTAGCCGATACCAATTACCGATACTTTTTCTTAAAGGGACAGGTGACTTTAAATGATCCATAGTACAACTACATGTTATGTACTATGGATCATGATTTAACCTATTCATGTTAGCAGGGGAGAATTGTAAATCTATTGCTGCAGTGTACTGGACGTGTGTGCTGTATATATGTACTACATATACATTACACACGTCCAGTACAATATAGCAGTAGATTTACACCCAGCCCTGTCCCAGCTTCCCTCACTCAGTTTCACTCAGATCCCTGTTGCCTCACGCGGTGCCTCTAGTAGTCGGCGCTGGGCAGGAGCGCTGCATCGCGTCTCGGTGCTCAGCTTGTGGGAGGCGCTCACAATTCTGCCCTGCTAACATGAATAGGTTAAATGATCCATAGTACATATACAGCACACATATCCAGTACACTGCAGTCTGCAGCAATAGTCCATAGTCCATGCAGCAATAGTCCATAGTACAACTACATATTGTACTATTATGTACTATGGATCTTTTAACCTATTCATATTAGCAGGGGAGAATTGTAAATCTATTGCTGCAGTGTACTGGACGTGTGTAACATACATGTACTATGTACTACATATAGAGTACACTGCAGCAATAGATTTACAATTATCCTCAGCTAACATGAATGGGTTGAATGATCTATAGTACATAACATGTACTTGTACTACGGATCATTTAACCCATTCATGTTAGCAGGGGATAATTGTAAATCTATTGCTGCAGCGTATTGGGAATATGTACTGTATATATGTACTACATATAGAATACACTGCAGTAATAGTTGCAATTCTCCCCTGCTAACATGAATGGGTTAAATGATCCATAATACAACTACAAGTTATGTACTATGGATCATTTAATCCATTCATATTAGCAGGGGATAATTGTAAATCTATTGCTGCAGTGCCCCCCTCGATCACACATGCACATCAAATAGTCTTATCTATTTCAAAAATTGTTCCACTTTAAACAATATCCATATTTCATTTATAATGTTTCTCAGAAACTGATGCTTGAATGTGCAGTGGGTCCAGCCTTCAAATTGAAGGCTGGACCCACATCACATTTTGCACATTCAGGCATCAGTTTATGAGAAACATTATAAATGAAATATGAATATTGTTTAAAGTGGAACAATTTTTTTAAATAGATAAGACTATTTGATGTGCATGTGTGATCGAGGGGGGCGCTATGTTTTGGGTCAAGAACCTGCTTTCTGGGATACCAATCAGCATCTCTCTTTAGTTTGCTCAGTTGAGATTTGAAAATGAGAAATAGAAGATGATTGGCTGCAGTGCAAATCTGCTCCAGAATTAGTTTGCTCCAGTTTTGACAAATTCCCTCCAATGTATATAAATGAAATAATGTTTCACATTAAGTAAGAAGCCAATCAATTTGTGTCCATCAAAGTATAAATAAGTGAACAAAACAATTCTCAAAGTTCTTGTTTTCAAAGATATATATAAAAAATGTGTGTCTTGTGTTCCTCCTCCGTGTAAATGTGATAATCCTCCCCACCAACCTGATCCACTCGATCAGATCGCAATCAGTGAAATGTATCCTCTCTCCAACAAACGAACCATCTCCGAGAGAGCAACCACAATGTATTTTCCCAATCTCATCCACTGATGTATCCAATATGTAAAAATCAGGGAGAGCGCCAGTAAATCTTCTCTTATAATACGGAGCAGGCTTTCGCATATATTTGGCACTCTGTTTCATCACATCATGATCTCCTCAACGATTCTTATGATGATTAAAGTAGTATTAAGGGCGTTTTGTACCTTAATGCATTCTCTGCATTAGAGTAAAAACAGCCCAGCACCTTTTTTCTACCCCAGTCCCCCCCACCCTTACCTGTCACCTGCGTTCGTCCCGCTGCCGGTCCGAAGTGATCCTCTGTTCCCCGAACTTCTGGGTTGCGGGGGGAGGATACTGATGACAGAGGAGCAATAGGCTCTTTCTGCCATCAATCAAAGAGGGAAGGGGCGTGGCCTGCCACAGGGACGCACACAGCCACTGCGGAAACTAGCAAGAAAGATGGTGGCACCCGTGCAGGGGGTGGGGGTAAAAGCGCTGCGGGGAGCCACTAGAAAACGAGGAAATAGGAACTTTTAAAGAAAAAGAGCAACAGCCTCCAGCAAAGGTGGGTCTCCTTAAAGGAGAAATAAAAACAAGAATAGGCTTTAATATCAATCATGATATTGTTCCCCCGATAAAGAAAATACAATGCACATGGCATAAAACCTTTGTAAAACATTTACTTGCTCAAAAAGTTAGAAACTTACATGAAGCAAGAATACATAGGCATATAAGAACAGTAGCGATCCTCTAGTATATCACATATTATAAGGGGAGATAGCGTACTTTATTCCATTCTTTGACCATAGAACTTTGGGTGTCTTGGTTTTTCACCTCAGCTGTCATTTAGCTTCGTTCGTTTGGGGGAATGGTGGTATCCACAAGCGCGAATACCAACGTTTTTGTTTTTTGTAAACCATCCCATATATCTAATAGTTAACCAAACCTTATCAAATGATGCTTTTTGTCCAAGGCATATTAACTCCTAGTATAATCACATAGAAAAAGAGAAGAAAAGCCCTCTATTAGCAGGAGATACCTCAGACAAGCAGCTAGAAATAATAGTGAAAATCTTTTTATATGTAATTATGTCATTAAGACCCGGCCAATCAAGTGGTCGAAAACCCAAAGAACACCATAGAAAAGTTGGAAGCATCAGTAAGGGTGAAGTACAGGTTTGACAAGTTAGGGGGGGGGCTGCTTTTTGTTTTTATATAGCTTTACTTCCACTTTAAATTTACTGCATAATGATCTAAAACACATAAGGGGGATTTTATCAAAACTGGAGCAAACTAAATCTGGAGCAGCTGTACATGGCAACCAATCAGTCTCTTTCATTTTCAAACAAACTGGAAAATGAAGCTGATTGGTTGCCATGCACAGCTGCTTCAGATTCTGTCTGCTCATGTTTTGATGAATTCCCCCCCATGATATTTTGGTTCTTATATTGTGGTGGTTCTGGTTCTGACTTGCTAAATTGTCCTCCAATCCACAGAGCCTGCACCTGCAAGTGTTTAAAACCCAGAGCATAAATGGCAACCATAGCTTTCTGGTTGGTTTTGGCCCACCTACACCCTTCCTCTGTGCGTTCCTATTGGCCAGCGAGGTTAACCATTACATTTGATGGCCCATAGGAAGATGTGGAGATCAGGAGGAGGGGGGACCAAGCTTGATTTTTACAGTCAAATTTGAGAATTGTATATAGTTTCCACGACCTACTTTTCTGAAGCTACTGGTCATCTGGTATTCAGAGGGGATCAACTCCGGTTTGCCCGAGTTTGTAACAGGTTTTATTTTAAGGTTGAAAAGTGATGCACACTAGTAATGCTTGTCAGCGGATTGGTTGGATTGCTATTGCTTAGTCCTGAATTAGTGTCATTAAACTCTCAGCTTTTTTTGCATATATCTACTGCTAGCGAGCAGTAGATATATGCAGAAACATAAAAAAAAAATTAAATGCTTTAAAAGCGGTTTAAACTTAGCTGTGTCTTCCCCGCGCGCTCCCGTCCGAAAATCTGAAAATTCTCGGGCGGGCGCATGCGCAGTTCGGATTTTCGGCCAGGAGACCGAAGGAGAGACACAAGGTAAGTCTATGGACAGCGTGCACCCGCATGCAGACACCGTAGGACAGGAAGTGCCAGCAAGGACAGAGGAGTCAGCGCTGGAGATAAGGCTGAAAAGGACAGGGAAGAAGAGGATCAGATTAAGAAACATCATTTACGGTAAGTGCTTTCATTAACATATTTATAATTTTATATGTATTATAACATATAATATTTTTGACTTTAATGTTACTTTTAATGACCTCAACATTTGTAACAAAGCAGGAAAGGACATGATCTTTTGGGTTGGATTTAACATTCCCTTTCCTTTTTTTCTTAGCTGTTCCCTTCTCAGTAATGGGAATGACTGCTACGCAAGTCCTCATTTCCAGAGGTACAGATTTTGTTCTCAGTTTTGTGTTATATTTGAGATGGATTATGTATTTGTGGATCTTTTTTTGTTTTGGTAATAGGGTAATATGCTGGATGCAGAACATAACACACTTACATTTTTACTTTGTTTTAAACACTTTTTTTATAATAAAGCTTGCTATAAATGTATTACATTTGGGTTTGCTGTTTACCCCACGCTATCTCTATGTAAAAGAGGGATATTAGCAAGACTATGTGGCCTTAGTATTTTGGGATATGGGGAAGAGTTATGGCGGGTTGCATAGCTGGGTTTTCCTTGGATTAAAATCTTTGATATATCATGCTTATCCAGCTTATCTCTGTCTGAGAAGAAGCAGCCATCCCCACGGGCGTAGAGATTCTAGTTAATACATCCCTGGTACTCGCTCTCGGTTGGTCTGTCGTCCCTTTTCTTCAGTTTCTCCAGTGGTCACCTGCCTCCAGTTAGCAGGTGGTAAGCGTAGGAGGCCTTGGCAGCCGACTAAGTCCTCTGTATAATCTGGGCTGCATCTCCTCTTGTGGGCCCTGGCTTACCCGGCGACCATGGCCCCTAACCTGGGGTGCTTGAGCGGCGATGCCCCAGTCCCCACTCTGCAGAAGGGGAGCCCAGCAAGTGGTGAAAAGGAGAGTGTACCTGGTGTTTTCCGGGCAGATGACCTGTTTTGTCCGGGTGATGTGCTTCTGATACAAGTTAGGTCATGGGTGGGTCCTGGCTTTGTTGCAGCATGCTTATTTCCATACTAATAGGATGCTGCAGTGGGGGAGCGGGTATTCCCTGGTACCGTGATTCACAGGCATCGGGTGGGAAAACCAACAGGTGGGGACCAGTGCTGTGGACAGAAGCGGACTATCCTTTTTTACTTAGACATAGCTCCGACACACTCCCTCTAGACAGCTGCAGCTCCCCAATGCAGTCAGACTCTACCACACCAGCTGCAACAACAGATCTTGCAGATTTGGACACCCACAGCTCTAAGGTATGTTCATTTTATATATGCATATCCTTCCAGCTATAGTAATACTGTGGTTGGGGCACCATTATGGAAAATTCCTGGAAATTGAGTTACCAGGTAACTAACTTTTTTTTTAATTTTTAGGATTCCTTACCACGCATTCAAGATTTGGTGCACTCCCTAAAGTTGCATGTAAGTCAGTCTTAAAGAGGAGTTTCTTGTGCATTGTATATACAGTGATATGTTTGTGGTCACTATTTCCTTATGAATTCTTCATCTATCTGTGTTGGCCTTAAGTGAGTAAATGTGCTCCATGCAAACCGAACCCTAATGAGCTTATTCAGTAGATCAATGCAGAGAACAAAAACACTTAATCTCATACCAACCAGCAAGATTCCATGTTACTAAAGTCAGATTAGTAAGAATTGATTCAACGTTTTCAAAGAGCTGTATAACTCACCGCTCCAATTGCATCTCCGGCTGCAGTCGATACATACACCAGGTGCAGGCTGTAGTGTGTTCTCGCTTGTCAGACCAATCTCCAGAAATCAGCCGTATGAAAACCAACGTTGGTAAAATCCAAAATGTATTGAAGTAATTCCGAAATCAAATCCAAAATTCAATGTGCAATATGTGCACCACCATACATCTCTCCCACACCATCGCTGCTTAAGCATTTAACCACCTGGGCTTAATCATAAACTTATTTAACGTTATTTGAGGTTGCATTAAGAAATGAAAATAGCAGTACACTAATGTCCACGAGCATACTGTCATTATTGAGTGTAACATTTCTGTACATGAAATGTTCTGTTATATTCTGTGAAATGTCTTGCTTAGATAGGTACAATACATATTTGATATGGTATGTTAGGGCAGTGGGGACACGTGAAGTAAATTAATTAAATGTTCAGTTAAAGAGGTTTTCCAAGGTATCTTACCCCAGTCCCAATGCAAACAAACTTCTAGTCCAACAAACGTTTTCTTGTGTTCTTGTCCGAGGTCTTCCTTGAAAACTGTGCAATTGATGTGTGTTATTGTACTTCACGTATACAGAGTAGCAGGAAGGCCATAGTAGCTGTACCCTGATCATAACATGAGAGCAGCATGAAAAGGAAACGTTGGGTGCAATCAAAATGAGAGAAGACATGAGCTATAGATCTGGTTTCAGTAGTACCAATTTGTTGAGAGCTAATGGTGAAGGGCCCCCATTACCCACTATATGTCACGTTTTGCCTGATGAACAGACCCTGTGAGGTCTTGAAACATCTCTACTTTTGATATGCTAATTTAAATGCCAATAAAGGTGTTTTGAATGAAGATCCAGTGGGGTGCTGCCCCTTGTACATGATCTGCAAACATGAGAGGTTAGGGGCTCAAACAAAGCTACTGGACTGGAAATGTTTCTGATATTCTATTACAATTGTAATATTTAACTGTGGCATAGCAATGTGTTCCACTGGGGAAATAATTGGAGCAAAGTCCCATCCTAAAATGTAAGGTCAATATGATTCATAGGCTACGCAGTCTGTGGGTAATCGGTGGCATGGGGACAAAGCCAGGTGTAGCAAACAAATTGCCCTGCAGTTTCTTAAATTTAAAGGGATCAACCCTTTTGTCAAAGTAGGGTATCCCTATTATACAGAATTTATACAGTACCAGCAGTTTGAGCAGCTCTTACAAAACGAAGGGAGACAGTACAGTTGCAATAAAATTTCAATACAGGAGGGTTAGAAGGGCCCTGCTTATGAGAGCTTACAGTCTAACGTTATCCATTGTTTTATGTCCAGCAGAACAGTAGCAGTAGTTTCTGTGTCAGTCACAGTGATCTATGGATAGGTGTCTGTGTATCTAATGGTATCTCCCTGCAGTAGAAGGAAAGTAGAATGAAAAACTCTATTTATAGTTTCCAACACTCATCTTTAAGATCGGAAAAGATTTGGACACCTCCACGCAATATGGAGAAGGTCCTCCAGAACCTGAATACATCTTACAATTATAATTGGGTCTATGCTCATAGAGGTAGAGACGTTGTGGTGTTTGATATGCTCTGTGCAATATAAACAGTTGAGTGAGTGTTTGAGATGGTGATGCGGGTACTCTTGGCAGAGCTTCCAAAATAATGACCAGTTCACTTTTAGTAAATTTGTCCTTTAATTATCCAACCCCACTGACTGTAACCTGCTATGGTAATTACTTAACTTCTTCTCTATTTGAGCAAATTTCACTGTTTGGCTCTGCCAGGTGCCGCTGAACCTTTCCAGCAAAAATGTCCCTGCCAGCCTCCTGTTCTTAATGTACATGTGCACTGTAGTCATGTTCATTCCTATAGGCGAGCCATATTCAGCTGAACGCATAGGTCTTCCCCCTAGGAATGAATATGGCCACGATGCATGTGTGCAGAGGAAACGGCAAGAACACCAGAATGGGGAGGAAGGTAAGCATTTAACATGGCAGGCTGCACTCAGGGGTGTTAGGGAATTTAGAAAAGGGCAAGTCCACTAAAAGTGCAATTTTCCTTTGGACACAAATTGATTGTACAGTTAATCAGTCAGGCCCTTGCACTACATAGTTGTTGGTAAATCTAAAGGTGATTCTACAGTTAGCTTGTAACACATGTCGTTAGCTTTGGAATACTGTCAAGAGGAGCCACGAATGGAGACTCTTGTGGACCTCAGTCTGCTGTCGAAATAAGAGAAATACAGCACGCCCATTGTCACTGGAGGGTCATTCGCTCAAAAGAGTCTTGGCAGCTGTCAAGTTTTGAGTTTGACTTGGAGAACCCCTTTGACTTAATCAGTTTGTAATCTGGCTGTACGTGTACACTTGTTATTACTGACTGTTTTATGCTTCCTTTAAAGTTGCCGGTACTGTGGGGTTCATGGCAGGAAAACTTTCTTATTATAATGCCTGCAAAGAGAAAATATTGAAACTGGAGAATTCCCCACTGGCTGAAATGCTTCATCAAGGAAGGATCTCCAAATTAGAGTAAGATAATCTGTGAACTGCATGAATTTATACATCAGGGGAGAAGGGAAGAAATGGAATATAAGCATAAACCTCAATTGTTACGTGTCATTATTAGCATGTACCAGTTCTCTTTATCAAAACAAAAGCTGCTACAGCAGCATCTCAGTGAGCGCTGTTTTGGGCCATGTTGGCGTTTCCCAAGCATGTCATTAGTGCTTCTAGACAGGACTTGCTTTGTAACCTTCATATCCATAGGTGTGGAGTAACTGGTTTCTCATCAACTTCTGAGGCTATGAGCAGAACATAAACTGTTGGTGGGACACTGGGGGGAGTCTGGGAGACATCTTCCTATACAATTACTAGACTAGAACAGCCCAACCCACTAACCCCCAATAATGAAATTATTTGTGAATGTTGTGTAGATATAACTATTAATTGTAGACAGACGCAAGGTTGGGCTGCCAGCACCACTCATTGCTGAGCCTGATGAAGGGGACCCTGCATGGCCCCGAAACCGCTAGATTTGGTGACATGACGTTCCAATAAACGAACGCTCTGGACTGCAATACTGGTTGTGTGCTGGTTACATTAATTCATCTTTGTGAGTCTATTGATCTCGCCTTCCTCTATGGTTGTGATAGCATCTTCTTATATTTCTGTTGGCTGGTTACCCTGACACCTTCAGCTGCAAGATCAATATCTGACAGACTCTGTGCCTTTAGCTGTGGAAATTCCCGTCTGATGAAGGGTCCCACAACTCCTTTGTGGATAATTTTGTTCCTGGGTAGTCGCAGGCAGGCAGTTGCAATGGCTCCCAGTTTTGGGGAGGCTATTCTGCTCTTGTTGCTGTTGTGCATCCCACCTAGTGTCTCAATCCAGAAGTTGGTGCTATAACCCAATGGTCAGAGATTTAGGATCTCTGCTGTGTTCTTAAATGTATGGAGAGAAAAGGATTTTACGGTATTGCAGGAATCTTATTCTTCTGCAGTTGCAGATTTTATAAAGGCCTAAAACTGGGGAAATGTGCATGTATTGCAGTAATATGCTAAATAATTTTGCCCTGACATGCACATTATAGCAACATGTTTATGATGTCCACTGAAAAGGTCAGTTAGATATACAAGATCATTTTGTTTCCTGCACTTGCTAGATCGTTGAATAACCTATTGGCTTCTTACATCTGAGACACCAACAGTGGAATCTCTACAGCTGAGTTCTGGTTCCATCTACTGACCACAGCCATTAAGAGTTGGGCTTTCTTCTTCATCTACATTACATTATAAAGAAGCAGGGGAAGTAAGACTTTGTTTTTTGGCTCGCATAAGGCAGCTGTGGTGACCCAGAACTTAATTTTTCAGGGTAGAGATCTTGCTGCTGGAGTCCTTGAGGGTTATAAGGATCTAGTAGATGGTTACAAATCAAAATTAAACTATATGTATATGTGTACTTTTCACACAAACATACTGTAGGTTCACTGGTTTGGCCAGCCTGCTTAATGACTTGTCAAGTAAGTTAGTATCATGAGGCATATCTGTCACAAACCTGGGTGATTTCAATATAGGTAACCTCTGCTTGTGCATTTTTTGTCATCGGATGCTAACTATGAATTTCCCAGGCTTGTGATGGGTTTTCGTTAATATAACATGTTGAAGGTGTGATGTGCATGGAAAACGTTTGGTGCCCTAAACAGCAGTCTGTAAAGTGTTTTACATTTTAATCTTACATTTAATGCTTTTTAGATTTCCAGGCAAAAAAGCCCCAAATGGTCATTATAATGATGATGATATCACAACCACACCATCCTTTAGTTCCGAACCCCCTCTGCCAGAACAACCTTACAGTGCTTATTCCAGTAACTATGAATCCAGTCCAGCAGATGTGCCATTCAGTGCTTCCATGAGCGACTCTTCCCCCACAGGAATCTCTGACAACATTGCTCAAGGTAACTACATATTCTTTTATTAAAGTATAAATTCAAATTTTTTTTCCTATTATTATTTTTAGTCCTCCTTTCTATAGGAAAAAAAGAAGTGCCCAAGCTTTACATACCCTATTCACACTCCAGCGCTGTCCCCAGCTTTCTCCTTGGGCCAGTACTGGATGTCCTCTTTGGACAAAGGATACTCTTGTCATTCTACCCATTTTCTGTCAATCTAGCCTCTCACTGAGATCCGATGCGTCCCAATGCTTCATCACACACACGCTAGGCTCGCAGTCCTCCAAGATTGAGCAGCACTCACATTTCATAATGTAAGCACTACAGTCCAGGAGGAATGATGCTGAGAAAGAAGAGGAAGCAAGGAACCATTGGCATAAGCTACAATATGGTGTCAAGAGTAATTGAAAGTTTATGTTAAGCATGTTGGGTAACATTGAATTAATGAAAGGGGAAAAAAGGGCTAAACCGTTTGAGCATTCCCTTTTCTTCTGGTTAGCTAACACTGCCAGATTGGGGTGTCAGAGGTATGATGGTGGTTAACTGTCCCTTGCCACGCACTATTTCCCTAAAGAGACACAAATAGATGTTTGAAATGCCTGTTATCAAATTGGTTCATCCTGTTACTTTCAAGGTATTATGTGGTTCATTTAAACCAGTGGTGCAGTTGTGTTCTAGTGGGTAATTTTATGATGTTAATAAACCTTTCTTAAGTGGTAAAGGATCACCAATTATTTTATTTTAGGGTGTATGGAGACTGCAGGTCTTTTATATACGAGCCATTCAGCATATAAAAACATCAAACCAGAATAAAGCATACTATGCACTCACAGCCCTGATTAAATGTCCCAGCAAGTCTTCCTTATACTCTTTCCTTAAGCAACAAACAAGTCTTGCTAGTGTATATTTGAAACCTAGAAACCCTTTAGCTCAATTGTCCATAAAAAGTCCATGGTGGACAGAAAGCAACTAACAGGATGATGGTGCTCAACCAGTTCATTGAGGAGCACCTCACTGCGGCTGACATATCTCTGTTCTTTGAGATCCTGAAATCATTGGGTAGTCTATCTCCTAGAGAGAGTGGTGCAGGGCGTCCACTGAAATACTTTTTTTCAACTGAAGATGAAGATAATGAGACCTGTACCCTAAACTGCCATACCCTTCTGCTGATCCGCCATGTTTAGGGGCAATGTCTAAAGCACGCTGTACAACATAGACACTTTTTTTAAGCCTTTGGAATATTTATTAAAACAAATCTTTAATTTGTATAAAACACGTCTATAAGAGCGCTGAAAACCGTATATGACCTGAAACAACATGGTGTAGGCTCCTTTTTATAACGAATGTTCTGTGGTTTAATATTGTTTGCAGAACCTGAGTTGCAGGAGGAACAACAAGCTAAAGCGCCATCTGTGACTTACTCTGAGCTACGGAAAAAACACAGAGATTCAGTAATATCAGAGACTCCAGTGAGGAGCAGAGCACCAAGGACTGAAGGTAACCAATTTATCAAACGTGCCATCAAAATAATATGACTTGTGTTAACCCCGTGTATAGCATTGCTATGTCCTGCCCATCCAGTACATCATTTCTTTCAAATCAGTGAAAGCAAATTCATGCTTTCCCCCCTTGGGCTATCCATTTGTGCTTTGAAGTGCCGAGGACCATATGTATTAATGTGTTCCTATGAAGATCTACAGTTAAAGCTGAACTCCAGAAAGATTTAAAATAAAAAATGTTTTATTTTTGAATGTAACTAGTGAAAGTACCTGGATTTTACCTGGTATCAGCTACTTGCAAGCTCCTATAAAGTAGCATTCAGATTGGAAGAAGGAGGGGACAGGAATGGGAGCCAATTTGGTATCTCTCTATCTCTTCTCCAGCCTGTAACTTTAACAAAGAAATTGGTGTCATCTACCTGGCTGTGCTTTGTGGCAGAGCTGTGGAAATCGTAGGATTGGATGGTCACAAATCAAATCCTTCTATATATTTCATCTGTGTGTTTAGCTGCTGTGGGTCTAGAGTTCAGCTTTAAATTTCCCTTGGTCTACAATAATATTTGAACCTGGTTGCTGTAGGAAAGTAGCTCCAGTTCAGAGAAAATGTTAATTGATCCACTCCTAAGTCTATGGACCTATCACTGCAGGAGGTAATTGATTAGTTCTTCATTAAATTGGTTCTAAACCCTCCAGTTTTTTTTGCCTATATTTACTGCTAGCAAGCAGTAGATATAGGCAAAAAGTTAAAAAAAACAAAATGCTTTAACAGCGCTTAACACTTACCTTGTTTGTTTCGGCTGCGCGCTACCGTCCGAGAAAACGAAACTGCTCCGGCGGCCGCAATGCATCTTGGGGCGGGCGCATGCGCGGGAGACGAGCAGGGACACAAGGTAAGTCTATGGACGCGTGCACCCGCATGCAGACACCGCTGGATCAGAAGTGCCTGTAAGCAGAGAGGAGTCGGAGCTGGATCGGAGAGCCGCCGCACCGCTGGGGGGACAGATGAAAACATCAGGAAAGAAAAAGATCGGATTAAGAGACGTAATTTAAGGTAAGTGCTGACATTAACATTGGGGGGAGGGAAAAAAATTATCCTTTAATGTCACTTTAACACATTATTGTGGGACCACACTAAAAGTCCCACTTTATTCCAACTAAAATTTGTGTGTGTGTGTATATGTGTGTGTGGCACAACTGACATCCCAGGTTTGGGGGAGTTTTGTTGCCTGTTTAGGGCTTGTTGTTTTTACAATGTAGAGTGCATGGGAGAATGCTCTTCATTTAAAAGCATTGATTTCTGCATTACCCTGAATTGTCTGTGTTGCAGAAGGCAAGATAACATGAGCAATGTAATTGAGCCCTGAGTGCAAGCAAGTTACTCCCCTGTTTTCTCCTAAAACCAAAATGTAGCTATTCCCTAGGTCTTTTTGGGTTTTTGTTTTCCCCCTTTCTTGTTTTCCCCCTTTCTTGTTTTCCCCCTTTCTTGTTTTCCCCCTTTCTTGTTTTCCCCCTTTCTTGTTTTCCCCCTTTCTTGTTTTCCCCCTTTCTTGTTTTCCCCCTTTCTTGTTTTCCCCCTTTCTTGTTTTCCCCCTTTCTTGTTTTCCCCCTTTCTTGTTTTCCCCCTTTCTTGTTTTCCTCTTTTCGTCTTCTTCTGCACTCTGGTGGCACTCTACCTATCTTGCTTTGTTCCCCACCAGCCTGGTTTCCCGTTCTCCTTTTTACTGTCCCTCCTGTTTCCTGTTTTTTATGTTTTCTGGTCCTATGTATGCTGTTTGCAGTAAATGCATGTTCCTTTTGTATGTTGCCAATGCTGCCTCATACGACTGCCTAATCTTCTGTTTTTTTTTGGTTTTAAAAACTTGTACAACTTTAAATAGCTTCTTTTCAGCAAACAAACATAAACAGGGTGTATCTTCCAGCAACATCCAAGAATTGGCTCAGAACTGGTATCATGTCCCACCTCAGGGATAGAGCCTCAGCCTGCTCATGGCCAGACACTCAGCAGCTTCACACCTCCCTGTGTGACGACGGTCTTCCCGACATTTTCAAAAACACCTTGGGTGGCACAGACCCTCCTGGCCTCACCCACACACCGCATGTGCCACAGGTCCTCTCGGCCCCTCCAGCCAGACTCCAGCTTAGTGTCTCGTGCGTCACATACACAGTCTACCACGCTCTGCATGTACTCCTGCACCTCTGACTGCCTCTTCCTCCCTCTCTGCTCTCTGTTATCAGCAACCTGGGGAGTCTGGCCTGTCAATTGGCTGCACCTAGCCTCAGGACTGGAGATTTCATCCTGCCCAAGACTCTAAAGGTGGCCATACACCTTGCAATCATCGGGCGAAAATTTTCGTCCGATGATCGAACCAAGCACAGCGGCCCCATCCTGCCCTGACCATCGCACAGTTCAATTAGCAGTCTTTAGCAGAAACCACCTGGACGAATCTCGTTAATTGACCGCACGGATTTTCGTTTGCGCATGAGCAGTGTTAATCGTACGAATTTTGACATATGGAAATGCCACCAACCTTGCGAAAATCGTACAATCGACCGAAGTTTTCTAGCATGCTGGAAAGACAAATGTTGCACGTTTGTACAATATTTGCGGTTGTAGACTCCCCATCAACCTTACGAATATCGGACGAAAACGCGATCGCAAACAAAATTCGGCCGATATTTGTAAGGTGTATGAGCACCTTCAGAAATCTCCAGAGACCCAGATCCCAGTTATACTCCAAAAAAGCGTTCTGGGGTGTGGCAGTGCTTTTCAAGTCAATGGCCCTGCAGACACGCCAATATACATCAACCCCCCCCCGCCAGAAGTCCAGTGCGATCGCAAAAAATAGTGCAAACCCTAAGGGATTGTGTGACTGTGATCATTTAATGTGTATCATTTACACTCAATGGTCACTTTATTAGGTACACCTTGCTAGTACCAGGTTGGACCCCATTTTGGGATGGACATGGTCAGCAACAATACTAAGGTAGGCCGCGGCATTCAAAAGATGACAAATAGGTACTAAGCGACTGAAAGTGTCCCAAGGAAATTTCGCCCACACCATTTCACCACTACTACTACTACTAGCCTGAACTGTTTATACAAGGCAGCAATGTGGCAGCAGAAATAGAGACTCATCAGACCAGGCAATGTTTTTCCAATCTTCTATTGTCCAATTTTGGTAAGCCTGTGTGAATTGTAGCCTCCGTTTATTGTTTTTCCCCGACAGGAGTGGCACCCGGTGTTGTCTTCTGCTGCTGTAGCCCATCTGATTCAAGGTTCGACATGTTGTGCGTTCAGAGATGGTATTCTGCATATCTTGGATGTAACGAATAGTTATTTGAGTTACTGTTGCCTTTCTATCAACTTGAACCAGCCTGAACTCTGCCCTCTGACATCAACAAGGCTTTTTCGCCTAGAGAACTGCCGCTCACTGGATATTTTCTATTTTTCAGACCATTCTCTGTAAACCCGAGAGATGTTAGTGCATAAAAATCCCAGTAGATCAGCAGTTTCTAAAATACTCAGACCAGCCCGTGTGGCACCAATAATCATGCCATTTCAAAATCCCTTGCTTCTCCATTCTGATGTTCAGTTTGAACTTCAGCAGATTGTCTTGACCATGTCTATAAGTGTCACAGGAAGGTGGAATATAGCTACTTGACAATACACTGTAGTTTCATCTGAACTGGCAATAAAAAATAACATTCCAAGTTGTTGATGGATAGATTTTATAATTTCTAAATGATTATAATACAGGATTTATATAGCGCAGCAGTTTACAATATAAGGAAAACATTACAGTTACAATACAAGATGGTAAGGAGGGCCCGGCCTGTGAGAGTTTACACTCTGCGAAGAATATTTAGTCCTGAAGAGTTGGGTTACCATATTGTCATTTTGTACGACGATCATTGGACAGAAAGTCGGCCATGCTCTGTTCAGATGTCAGTGACTGTCAATGTCTTTTAATGCACCTGTAACTTTATTTTTAGCACTTTTCTGTAAACCAGCTGGGATTTTGTGATTAGGATTTGATTACACGATGGGATTGGAGTGTGCATAGATAATGTTCCTCATCAATGTTGCCATTTTCAGTTTCAGGTAAGAAGAACAAATATGGAGATGTGTGGGAAGAATGAAAGACGTCTTTACTGCCGAGGCAATTTCATCATCTGCAGACAAAGTCTGTACTTATTTGTTGTCTGCTGATAAATGCACAGAGTGCAATCTAATTACATTTGAGGACGTGCATTGTTTCTCTGTTCTGCAAATGACAAAATAATGATTTTTCTTTAGTGGAAAATATAAAAGACGTATGTTATTTTAAAAGGAATTAAAGTTTACGTTTTCTAAAAGCTTTTTCGTTTTTCTTGAGTTGCATAAAAAAGTGAAAGTGTTCAGAGGTTTGAAGCTATGTATAATGAAGAACTTAGGGTTTCCAAATCCAAAAACATTTACTTATTCTGCTGCTTGCCAGTCATTGGATGTGGAGAATGTTAGTTTTCTTTTTTAAGGTTTTTTCTAGGGATGCACAGATACTTTTCGAGTACCAGTGCAGATACTTGGCATTTCCATGAGAACTACCAGGGTTGTATCGGTTGCAGCTGGGACCTGGCTCTGGCACTCCACCACTGTCCTGAAATCATTAGTCTGTATTGTTTTAGAAAAACTGTCACATGACAATAAACAAAAATGTATCAGTACTCGTACTTGTAAGTACTCGGCAAGTATCAGTACTCGTAACCGCAAAACTGGTATCTGTGCATCACTTTATTTATATTTATAAAAACAAAATCGTACATTAAAACAGAGATGTACAAATCCCAGGAGCTCCGTGTGCTCATTACAAATGACAGCTGCCTCCTAACTTTTGAATTTTTCTCTAGTCTAGTCCTGGAGCTACAAAGTATCGGTACTTGTACCGAGTACTGTACTTGGTATCTGTGCAACCCTAGTTTTTTCCTTTATTTTTAGCTGGGAATCCTGCGCATAACATGCATCCTGTCCCTGTGGCTATGCTCACTCTTCCATTGTTTCTGTGGAGGGAGCCATGGTTGTCTGGCTGTTCCCCTGATCTGGACTACATCCATGTCTTCCTCTTTTCGTTTCCATTACATGAGGGGTATTTTTAGTTTATGGAATATAGCTTGGAAGGAAAATGAGGTTTGTGATTTCAATTCGTAGGATATGACGAGGACACTATTTCTGGCAAGATATACATGTATGTTCTGTACTTGCTGAAAACATTTTTGCCTGAAAAATGAATACTTACGCAGCCACCACATCTAAGGACCGGTAAGCTGCAATATATTACATTTGTATTCTTGGGTTTAGACATCCTCTAAAGCAGCGGTTCTCAACCTGTGGGTCGCGACCCTGTCGGGGGTCGAATGACGATTTGGCAGGGGTCGCCTAGCGGCTCCCGGCCGCCCGGGATAGAAACACTTTCTCCTGCAAAGGTTTACTCTGCTCGATCGAGTAAACTTTTCTCTGCTCTGTTTTTTTCTTTCTTTTTTCTGACATCGGGGCCGCAGGCCGCCGTCAGAATAAAAAAAATAAACCACCATAGGGATGCATAGCTAGATTCCTATTGTCTATTTCACTTTGCAATAGCCAATAGCAAACTAGCTATTGCACCCGCCCTCTGCTGCTGCCAATCAGCAGAGGGGGACCTGAAGTTCTCCATCAGGTCCCCTTCTAGTGATTGACAGCAGCAGAGGGCGGGTGCAATAGCTATTTTGTTATTGGCTATCGCAAAGTGAAATAGCCAGTAGGAATCCAGCTATGTATTCCTAATGTGGTTTTTTTTTTTACTCTGACGGCGTACACCAGTAGTTCTCAAGCTGTGGGTCGCTGTGTGATTTCTGCTGTGCTGGGTGAGAGTCCTCCTCAGCCCTCTCCTAGCGCAGCAGTGTCAGTTCTCGCGCCACGCCACCAGATGTCGCTGCAGCAGCCGCGTCATCCCTAAATTTTACCGTTGGGGGTCACCACAACTTGGCAAATGTTACCAAGGGGTCCCGGGCCCTAGAGAGGTTAAGAACCACTGCTCTAAAGGATAATTGTACTTTTACATAGAACATGCCTACAGTGCCTAAAAACCACGTAACGATAGAGCTCCATGAGTAGAAGATCCAGTTTTTGCAGTTTCTGGCTTATGGGTCCCAATTAATAGAAAATGTATTCCAAATGACATTCATACATTTTGGGCAGATGGGTACTGCAGTGATTTTTAATGGAGGGCACAATTGTATCCAATAAAGTGGAGTTTTCATCTATGACAGG